AAGAAGGACAAGTGTTGGCTCAATAATTGATAGGTTGCTTTTAATAAAGCAACTAAGGGTATTTTGTCTTTTCTCAAAATTGGAGGGTGTTTGGTCTCTTTTTCTCCAAATATTCTCCAATTAAATTCCTTCAAAATATTATTTATTCTCCACAAAACTCTCTAGTTTATTCCATTAAATAATTCTTCAAATTTCCTCCTAAAAATAATTGCATCAATTTCCTACTTAATATAACACATAATTCACTATTCACAATTATCTAAATTGCTCAAAAATATTCCTTACTTACTTTCTCCATAAAAATCTTGCATACATGCTCCAAAAATGTTAAATAAAATTATAAAACATAATAGTAATTTTTTGGACCAAATTTTTGGACCAAAAATAATACCAACTTCCGGACCGGTGGTACTATTTACAGACCGGTAAACTACTATTGAAACACAGGAAAAATGGGGCGTTACACTACGACCTCCAGATAAAGTGCTAGCTCATGAATTCTTAACTCAGCTTCAGATCCAACCTGAGAAAAAACAACATGCTAGCGAGCTGTACTGTAGTTCTCCTAAAACAACAAATTAATAAATCAAGGTAGTTGCAAGCTTTATTATATTGAATTTATACACGTAAGAGAAGACTAGAAAGTAAATGTAAATATTCTTCATTGTTACTTACATTGACGCCCAACGCACGTCTGTCAATAAACCTATTTGTATCGTGGTCCTTTGTGTGAGTGTAAGTGAACACCCCCATCGGTGTGGGCTCATGACCATATTTTTCAACTTGTAATGAATTTTTATGCATGATATATTAATATGGTGTCATTTCATTAAACATCAGTTCTGTAACTTTAACTAATTGACTCACTAATAATCGAGATGTCTTTATAGCAGATATTGATCCGCCTGTGTATTGGAAGGTCCTGCTCCGTCACTGCCAGTCTCACTATGCCTGTTTCATGCAAATATCTCACACTTTCTCTTGAATGCAGCAGGATCCTCCCAAGCCTTCTGCCAGCTCTCCCATATCGCTTGAGACATGCACTGTTGCTTCTTATCGCTTTTTCACATCCTATAAGTGAAGTCAGCATACCGTAGAGCGTTTAATTTCTCCCAGGCTACTTTTAGCATAGCCATAATAGCCTCTTCTTATATGAAATGCTTTTGCAAAAATGAAAAATAAAATTTTAATAAAGAGTAAGTGAAGGCCCATAGATTCAGATTACTAATTACATTGAATGAAGATATAACTTGAACCGAATCGTACCTGAAACTATTCCCAATAAAAGTCTCTCGCTTTTTGTGGTACGACATCCCATGTGTATCCATCTTTATCGAGATGTAGCCTGATTATCCTCATAATTTGCCTTGATGCTTGAGAGGATGGATATATGCTAAGAAAAAAAACATAAGTGAAATATAAGTAGATGAAAGGATCAAAATCTGAACAAAACCAAGTTCAAAGGAAAAAATAAATAAGTATTTACTGTCCCGCTACCGAACTGACCTTGTTACGCGGCTCCGATGAAGCTGCAAAAGAAGTGACAAACGCTATTAATACAGATAAATAATTAATATATAACTGAAATGACAATAAATGACATTTATGATTACCTAGTGCGGTAGGTGACTGTGAAGCTGGTGAAGACTCTATTGGTCTAGGAAGTGGGCTAGAAGAGGAAGGAATAGAACGAAGTGATGGCGGCACGGGAGGCTGAGCAGAAGATGAAGCCCCAGACGTACCTGAAGAAGAATGAGGAGGGACAGTCCCTCCTCATCCACGTGTACTGCGTCCTCGGCCACGACCTCCACCAGACCACTACTGGACGCGTCTGAATCAACCGCCCTGCCTCTAGCCATATGTACTACAGATAACAGAACCTACATGTGTATGTATACAATTATATGAATTATAAAGAAAGTGAATAATATTAAAATTCTTCATTAATAATATTATATATACATCATTATACATCTATTATTATTTCCATTAATACATATGCATTGTATTTCTGTCTTCATCATCAATTCTGCTTCCTCTTGTTCTTCTTCTTTCCTCTTTCTTGATCTTCGTGCTTCTGAGATACTCATGATGATTTCATTCTTATCTCCTCTTCATTCATCTGATGCTCCGTATTTCAACATAAGTTCTGCTTTCATCAGCTCAGTCTATTCCATGTAAATCTTCCAACAACTTGTATCGGCCTCCAAAGTCAATTTAATCCAACATTTCCTCTAAAGTGCAAATAGGCCACTACGTAGGCCTCCAACTCAAATGCATCATTCATGTGATTTTCACCTCAAATAAAACACAAATCAACATAATAGTAAATTCAAAAAATAAATTTTCAATTACACTTCATAAATTTTGGATTACTATTATAAAATTTGATTAGTATTAAATTACACTCATTAATATAAATTGATATGAACTTAGAAATATAAAAACTGATATGAACAAATTAGAAAATGGAACAGAAAAGGTTCTATAATTATATAAGTAAAACCTAAAACTACTCTAACCTTTAGTTATGTGTTAAATATGGAAAATGCTGATATTGAGAGTTTTTTTTTTAATAAGTTAAATGTTATTACGAGTCAATTTTTTTATATTGTATAAAGTTTGAATCTAATCCAAATATTAATCGATCAAACTCAAATTAATAAGATTGAAAATTTATCCATTTACTAACTAAATTCAACTCTTGGCTAATAAGTATTGAACCTTGAGTGATTAAATAATTTTAAATAATTAAGGACATTTGATTTTTTTTGTCTTATTTTAGTTTTATGCTTTACTGGATAGAAAACTTTTGGTTATATTAGGAATATATATTAGGTTAATACAACAACAAATTTGTGATTCGCAGAAAAATATATATATATATGGCCAACACATATTTTTTAATGATTTTTTTAATGACAATTCTTATTAGGTATTAGGTATTATAAGATGTTGATATTATAAATATTCTTCCCATTATTTATTATTATTACTTTTTTCTTCATGCGACGTCCTTGATTTTAACTTTTTCGGCTTTTCTTGAAGATTACATTTATTCTTTGACTTTTTTTTATTTAGTAATAAAAAAAAACTTATTTTAACTAATCAATAATAGTTAATTTAATGACAATTCTTATTAGGTATTAGGTATTATAAGATGTTGATATTATAAATATTCTTCCCATTATTTATTATTATTACTTTTTTCTTCATGCGACGTCCTTGATTTTAACTTTTTCGGCTTTTCTTGAAGATTACATTTATTCTTTGACTTTTTTTTATTTAGTAATAAAAAAAAACTTATTTTAACTAATCAATAATAGTTAATTTAATTAGCACATTTTTTCAGAGGTCAATTAATACAATAATTTTGCAAAAATCAGGATAAAGGTATGTAAAATATGACCAATGTTCAAATCATAATTTTTTTTTAGTAAGTAACTAATTTCATTTCTGATATTCTTTTCTCATAGATACTTTTTTTCACGAATTAAATTACAGAGTGGGTAAAAGAAATAAAAAATCTTCTGAATAATGTAACTCAGTTGCAGACATTCAAAAATTACAAGCAATAAATTATAGTTTTATAATTTACTTCAGTGTTTTTTATTTACTATGATAAAAGAAAATATAGCATAGATAAATTACAATTTTTGGTAAAAGAGGTAAGATTCAGTGTGTCCTATATATATTAATATAATGGCTTTTCTAATAGACAATAAATAATATGCACAGGCATTTCTAATCGCAAATTATAGAACAAAAACCGCTAATAGTCTTACAAATTACTTTGCAAAAAAAAAAAAAACCAAGAAAAAAAAAACATAAAATAAAAGGGCTAGAGCACCTACCTGACCAAGTGCGATGTGTCTTCTCCAACGACAGCAGCGAAGAATCCGGTGCCAGCGGTAGAAAACGGTGACGGGCAAAAATGGTGGAAGGAGAGGAAGGAGGCCGCTAGAAATGGAGAGTTGCGGTGGCGACCAAGGCTACCCAGGGCTTATAAAGCCCTAATGTTTTGCGACTGAAAGATCGGTCGCAAATTATTTAAAAATCGGTCGCAATTTTTAATCCTGTGATGTCGTTTTGTAATCAAACAAATTGCAACCGATTTGCAACCAACACAGTTGGTCACAAAATTATCGGTCGCAAATCAGTCACTAATCCCTTGCAAACCAGAAATTAAATTTCGCGCTGAACTGTAGCACGCAATGTTACGATGGACTGTGAAACGATCGCAAATCCATTGCAAATTTTATCGCTAATTCGTCACAATGATGTCGCAAAGTGGAAATCAAACTGACGGGAGTTATTAACGCTAGAATTAGCGACCGAACTGCATGTGATCGCCATTCCGTCGCTAAATTTGTAGCAGTTTGGTCGCAAATCCGTCAGTAAATATTAAATCTGTGTTACCTCAATATTCATCGCAATTGGTCGCAACATCATCGTAATATTGCGACAGACCTACGTCGATTGCAAAAGCGCGTTTTTTTTTTTTTTGTAGTGCTTGATCGGCAAGTGTGGTCACGTGCTTCACTGGACGATGATGAAACTCTGGAGAAAGGTCAATCGACGGTCCCTCTTTCTTCTCAAGTAGGCGGTGACTGATAACTCCTCCTACAATGGTTGCCAAGAAGCTTGACCCAAAAATCCTAGCTATTCAACCTGTTTCTAATTCTTATAAAATTGCCAAAAACGTGGTTGTGCTTTGATACCATGTCATAATTTAGAGATTGGTATGAGAAATAATTCCGTCTATCTCTTGCGTTTCAATGAGATTATATACATCATTTTTATACACAGGCATCTAATTCTAAATGGCAATTTCTCATAAAAAAATTAGCCAAAAAAATTATAGTTCAACATGCACTATATCATGAAGAATAACAATCATAGCACGTCGACAAGTAGTACCAATATTCTTTAAACCAAAAAGTATGAATATTTATATAATATAAAGACTATTAATGTAATTTTAAAAAGAAAAATGAAAATTCAGAGAAATATAATACATTATAATAAAATACGAAATAGTGATTCTCCTTTAAATTATTGATTATAATTGTATAATTAAAATGTATAGCACAAGCAGGATTATTCACTTTTGTCAAGTATTCTTTTATAAGGCAGGAAGAACACATGGAAGAAGGTTGATGAAGATGGGCTTATCCAATGAACAGCTTGCAATAGACATGTCCTCTTCATCTACTTCCTGTACCGATTTATTACTATTTAGATATATAAGGACTACAAATGAAAATACCAATCAAACATTTTCCTCAATTTGTCAAAAGGGTTTAAGTTTTTCTTTTTGATATTAGACAACTTAGTTTTTCTTCAAAAAGAAAAATCACTGTATTTATAAATTTTAATAATTTTTTATTCTTTAATCGGTATAAATGAATTTGAACTACAATTTATTTAAAGGTTGTAAAATTAGCTTTATAATTATATTGCATAGCGTAAATATAAATTTTATGGCGAATGATTTATGTTATTCAATATTATAATTAAATTTCATTATTTTATTAAAATTAAGTGGTGTTAATTTTCTTAATCTTTTATTTAGTAATAAATATATAATTGATTTTTATTTGAATTTATATTAAATAATTAATTTTCTTAATTAAATTAATTCAATTATATTTACTTTTAATAATATATTTAGCATTTAAAATTAAAATTAATTTATGAATTTAGAATCAATCCCTCGTAACATTGCATTAAATGAGATGGGAATCAATTATGAGAACTTTCAATTGAAAATGTCATTACCTTGCTATCCAATTTCCGGATGTAGCCAACAAGTACCAATTGCATTTGCTCATCACAAACGTCATCGTTTTTCTCATCAATTGTGCATATTTGCTGCAAAAACATCACCAAGTTCAAAAGGGAGTATAAGTTATACAATTCACACTAAAAACAGAAGATTACACTAATCCCTGCATTGTAACAGCAAAATTTTATATGGTAAATTACTATTTTAGTCCATATAGTTTGGTGAAATCCATAGGTCAAGATCTCTATTTTTTCATAAGCAAATTGAATGGTCCTTCTATTTTGTTAGGTGCAACTAAATAGTCCTATTAATTTTTCCCTTAAATTGTGGTGAATTGTCAATTTTACTCTTCACAAAACTTTGAATTTTCTTTTATATTATATACCACCACCAAGTGAAACTCTAAAAGGAGTGTATTGGATTAAGACTCTATTAGATTTTGTAACACCCACTGTCCGATCCTGTAGAACTAGATATTCTGTGCCAGAGGCACGTACTCATCCATTTCATTTTCCCTTTTAAATTCTTTTAATTCATATATTTATTTTAACATACAATAAAATACTACCATATATTATTAATTTTTACTTTAACAAATACACACTATTAGACAATAAATAATAGTGTTTAAATTAGTTTGTGGCATCCTAGGTTTAGCAAGGCATTGTCCACTTTGGGCCGAACCAACTGAGGCCAGCAGGGTTTTGTTCCTAGGCTAGAACCAACCCATAGCCCAAAAGGGCTTTTGCTAGTCTAAGACTTGCTCATTCTTATATACTTCATTTATAACTTGTGCTTAGCCGATGCGGAATTCACCTAGGGTGTCATTGTAGACGCTTTTTGCTCAAAAGGGCCCAGTGATGATAACCATTTTGCAAAAAATTGAATCGGGACATCCGATCGCTTCTGGTTCTCGGACCGATGGTCTGTGGCTAAGATAATTGAGTTGTTTGACCGTTTTTTATGTTTCGGGTTGCCAGGTGTTTCGTAGCGAAAGCGAGCTTGGAAAGCGCCTAAAGTCCACCCGATATGCGTCCCGGTGCACTGTCCCGTTTTGCGTGCCACCAGGACAAAAAAATTGGCCCGGCCCGATTTCGAGGTCCACCAGTGGCACTTGCCACCTAAGCCCTAAAACAAGGCCACATTTTCCTCATTTGCCTATAAATAGAGCATTGAGAAATGTGAAGGGAGGTTTTTTCTGTTGCTAAGAGGGGAAACTCTACCATTTTGAAAACTCTACCTTTCAAATCCAAGAAAAACGTATTTTCACTTGGATTCAAGATTTCTATTCAGTCATTTTTTAGAAAAACGCCCCTAATTTAGTGATCAGAGACCCATAAACACTCATATTAAACTTAAACTCAAATTTGTTGATTCAAGAGAATAACTTTTGGGTTTCTTGATTTTCTTTCCCAAAAATCTTTGAAATCTTTCAAAACAAGGTAACCTTTGAGAGACTTTAACTTTTCTCCATCTTTTTCGTGCTTTTGGTATCTTAAAAACACCATCTTTTCATGGTTGGGAGAGAAATTTATGACCGACCAGTAGGCTTCTAACTGCATTAGAAGTGGCGCACGCCACTAAGTAGTGGCTCCACGCCACTACGTGTGGCGCACGACACTTCATTCCCAATCATAAAGCCTTTAAATCTTTGCTTTGAGTCTTCTGATCAGGGTAAGATTCGCACGCCACTACATGTGGCGCACGGACCTTCATTTCAAAGGACTAGAATGTAAAAATTAATAAAATCACCCTGATTCAGAGCTTCTTTGAGTCAAGCACAGAGCAATCTTGCATTGAATCATAAAAATGACTCATTTTGGAGTAAATAAACACACAAACAACAAGAAATGGATAGTGATGTGTATATTTGTTCATCATTCATGACGAATATCAAGACCTTGATCTCTAATCTTGTTTAAACCTTTAAATTAAATGTTTTTAATTTATTGTCCTTTATTTTTTATGCATTCTAAATTCCAGTACTTTATTTTTATGCATTTTACATTAATGTTCTTAGTTATTGTTAGTCTAACCCATTTAACCTTAGAACATCTTACCATTAACAGTCATCAATTTGAATATTGTGATTGAGTGTTGTTGACATTTAGTTTCTGTGGATGACTATATTATGTTTGTGTTTATTAATTTGAGTTCTTAATGTCCTTATTTATTGAGCTTAATATGAAGAACCTAAATGGATCCTATTATTGCATATTTGTAATAGTTAGTGGGTTGGATAATTACTTGGGGAATTAAATGGGTAGATTGTACATTTAGGAGGTTGGTTGTAATTCTTTTCTTCTTTTTCCTTTCTTTGGATGTTTTAATTTATGTTGTATGTATTAGATAATGTGCATATTTGTCATGATTTCCAAAATGCATAAAAATGTTTTACATCTTAACTAGAGTAAATCATATTATTAACTATTGTGAATGAATGGACAACGAAGGAGGCTCGTTTCTAACTGGGCAGTTCAGGTGCCTATCATCTTCCCGACACCGTACCAAATTCCCTTACTCAATCTCTTTTCCCTAAAGAGGGTAGCTACTCCAAACCAAAACTCTTATCAAAGTAAGAGCCATTTTTTATCACTTTCTAAAAGAATCATTTTTTCCGAGGATTAATGAATGGGTCTAATAAGAGAAAACCGATTTGACAAAATAAAATGAACCAAGTCTGTTTCATTCCTTTGCAAGAAAACCAATCATCCTCAGCCACATCCACTCTCCCTCAGGGACTCTGCGTCCTTGTTGAGGTTTACCCACCATCAGCTAGAGGACAAGGCTTGGCTCTGATACCAAGTCTACCATCAGCTAGAGGACAAGGCTTGGCTCTGATACCAAGTCTACCATTAGCTAGAGGGACAAGGCTTGGCTCTGATACCAAGTCTGTGGCATCCCATTGGCTCTGATACCAAGTCTACCATTAGCTAGAGGGACAAGGCTTGGCTCTGATACCAAGTCTGTGGCATCCCAGGCTTAGTAAAATATTTTCCACTTTGGGGCCAAACGAACTCATACCTAAAAGGCCTCTTACTAGTCTAAAGCTTGCCCATTCTTATGTATTATACTTACACCTTGTGTTTAGCCGATGTGGAATTCGCCTAGATTGTCACAGATTTTAAAAGATTGTAAAATTTCAATTGTATTCAATCTAGATTTTTTTAGAGTCTATTAAAATTTTATGGTATTCAATCCAAACTCTTATAAAATCCATAAAAATTTAATGGTATTCAATTATGACTTTTAAAAGTCCATACAAATTTGATGGTATTCAAAAAATTGCTGATTCGAAACAATTTTATAAAATTATTGATTTCATTGGATTTTAAAGTGCCAGGTAGGAACAAAAGAGTATTCACAAATCCATCCTCCAATCCAAAAATTTTAAAAAATTTTTTAAATCTGACATAGTCTTGAATCTAATACACCCTTTAATAAGGATGGAAGCAAAGTCTTTAATCTAATACACCCTTTAATAAGGATGGAAGCAAAGTGAATACTCGCGAATTTTAAACGACCTGTATAGGTATCCATTTAAAATTTTATTACTTGTATTCGTTCTAAACCCGTTTAAATATCCATTTAAGTATCCATATTTGAACCCATTTATATTTTTACTATCATCATCTATCCAAAACTCATTGAAAGTTTCTCCTAAACGAGTAAGGTATTCGCAAATCTTAAACTATCCAAATATAAACTTATTTAAAGTACATTTTTACTAATAATGGATAGGGTACCCGTAGATACCCACTACTGAACCTGTTTAATATAATGGTTAATGGGTAGCGGATATCCAAAGATTTCTACATTTACCCTACCCATATAAGTTACGGGTAATAATTTCACTATTTATTTTCGACCACATCGTGACTGTTCTAGAAGCATAGGATGACCACTGACGACACTAGCAATTGCAGGCCTTTCACTGTTGGCAGCAGTAAGGTTTTAAATAAAGAAAAAAAAAGCTTTTGGAGAAGATGACACATTTTGCTTTTTGATCCCTCATTATTTTTCAATGTTTCAATTTGGCCCCAAAACCTTTTAATTTGTTCAATTAAGTTCTGAAATTTATTTTAATTGGATGTATAAAAAGCATTATAATTTCACCAAAGTCAATTAAAATCTATAAAAGAAATCTCACCATTTCATAAAACTCTATGTAGAATTCTAATGAAAATATTTCAATTCCGTCAAATTCAATAATTTTTTAAAAATCTAATACAATCCTAATTTAATACACCCCTAAGTCTTTTTCTTTTCTCGTAAACGCCTTCCATCCTAGTTTATAAATAAAAACTCATTAAAACTAACAAGCCATTTATATATTTAGATTAGCTTGTTAGATAAAACTAGACAATAAAATTAGATTATTTCCCTCTAGGATAAAGCTGGACAAGTATTTTATTTGACTTTTTTTGTTGACAAAATATTTTTATAATTTTACTCCTTCCATCCATAAATATATATCAATTTATGATTTTTGCCTGATGATAAAAAAAATTAATAGATTCTTCGAAACTATAATAAAAGATTTATTAATTTGACTAAAAGGTAATTTTGAAACATTGTAATATGTTTAGTATACATAAGGGTAAAATTAAAAGAAGTTCATTAATATCAATAAAGTGTTAGTTGAGGTGGTAAACGACATCAACTCCGAAATAGTGAGAACACAAGTTCGATCACCGAGAAGTGCACTTTGCTGGGAGAGCAAAAGAGCTTTCCCCTCTACCTCCCAAGAGGGATTACACCTCCCGAAGTTCATTAATTACTCCTTGATATTTCCAAAGAGACAAATATTTGTGGATAAAAAAACTAATCTAGAATAATATATATTTTGTATTAGATATGAAATATTTATTTATTTATTTTGCTCAGAAAAAAATATATTTGCACAATTTTTTTTTTTTCAATAATTGATAAACAAAAATATATTTAAAATTACAAAATAATGTTTTGCATCAGCATTGGAAAAAATAAAACTAAAACCCGTATTTCTTTGTCTATTAATTATTAATGAAGCTATGTATGTTTTAAGTTCCGAATTATTAAATTGGCCAAAGTAGTTAGGATATGACACGATTATGCTAAAATTGAAAATGTCGAGAGGTTTGGAATTTGATCATTAGGCTGTATTTGAACTAGTCCAAACACAATCAGACAGATTTCAAATGGTAGAAATTTAGTGAAACTGAAAAGATTGGTTACTCACAATATTCCTCTTAGCACTACATGAACAGTGATCCCCTCCAATACCAACCAGAACCTTTAAGATCCCATGCACGCCACTTTGAGTCCAACCAAAGTATAGCCCAGAAACTTGGCAAGGAAGACCTGATTCGCCACCACCTGCCATTGTACCTGTAATTTAATTTCTTTCAGTGACATAGAACATAATACAAGTAGAGATGAACATTCGATCGGTTGAATTCCAAACCTATATATATATATATACTATGATCCACGAAACTCCTAGTCATATGCATTACCTTGAAAACGTTTCTCTGTATCCGTTTTCCCGTATAAAATATTATTTTTTCTGCGCAAAATTATATTTTAAATGTTGTTTTCCCGTGTCGTTTCCACATTCTTTGTTTCCATGCAACATAGTGTATATATAACCAACTAAACTGAATTTTCTGTAGAACTAAATTGAAGTTCAGTTCGGTTCTCAGTTTTGACTTACTTTTTGGTTATATCAGTTTGGCTTCAGGGTTGTTTCAGAATAAAACGAAACTGAGGGAAAAAAAATTGATTTTTGGTTTCACTGATTATTGTCCAGCCCTAAATAGAAGGACTATGAAGATCCAAAAACTAAATTTTGGTGCAAATTTCACATACCTATCAACCATACAAAGATAATTCATTTTACTTGTACCAATGATGAATGTTTGCACCAGCTCAAGTAAATATACCTGTGACTTCACTGATTGAACCATTTTTATATAAAATGCTCAAGTAAATTGGTTCAATTGGCAGTGCACTATCAACCCCTGCAGTAACATACGTTAATAATAGTCAAATAGCAACCCAACAAGACTAAAGCAAAAATAAATAATTAAATAAATAAAATGTGTGAAGATATATATATACAATCATCAAATGGTGGAAGACCCCATATCTCCGGCTGAAACTCTAGAAGTGAATGAAGGACGCTATCTGCCAACAAAGAACAATCAGCTTCACTTTGAGATGGAACAGCCACTACCTTCATTTTGGCAGCCTTAGCAGCTTTAACACCAACCCTGTTGAAATGTACAGTAACAATTCATCTCATTTCAACTGATGCATCTAAAACTCGATCTTCTTACTAATTCAACTTATTTCGTGCATGCCTCGTTAAATTATTTCTAATTGCATACTATTTTTTTGATATAATCAGGACGTATAATCTCTCTCAGGCCCTAGAGCATAAAGGTTATTGACCCTTGCAGGAAACCATTAAACAATCATCAAAATAATACTTGTGGCAATTGTTGAGAAATGGAAAGCAGAGAATTCGCAGAAAAACAGCAAATAGACACAAAACTTGTGTAATTTTAAGCCTACAACTTTCACCGAGTTCTCTAGTATTCATATAGATATAACTACAAGAAGGAAATTACAATTGCAATGACAGCCATGACTAAACATCTCGGCTTTTACCCCATAACTAAACCATGCTTACTTTACCTAAACAGTCGAACTTAATTCATACCTGTTACATAACATGGCAGAATTACAGCAAGTTTTGTAAATGAAAACAAAATATAAAAAACACTGGAGAGTACCTAAGTAAATTCTCAAACTTCAAAAGTGCTACTAGGCATTTTATAAAATCAAATTCAACCATTAATCACTCAGTGCTCATATTCAAAATGGTTTGAACGCAAAATCTATTATAAACACAGACAAGGACATTTTCAATTAACTTTTTAGAATTTGCAATATTTAACTAGACATAACAAGCATAGGTAGCACTGATCAGAAGATACTGCCAAGAAATACAGACCATAAAATTAGAAACTAAATAGGAAAATTTTAAAAGCAAAATTCATTTTTCTAGCTGTCTTTCTCTTTTATTTTCCTATTCATTTCATAGAGGACACAGGTAATAGCCTAGTAAATATGAAAGAAGAAAAAAAAAAAAAAAAAGCAAAATATAAAAACCACCTGTCAAAGGCAAATATAAATTAATCCATTGATAAATAAAAGAGGTTAAGAATATACACATGATTGCAAGATTTAGTTGTTTCTGGCAATATCTTTTCTTAAATATATGCCTAATTTCCTTGTTGTGACATAGTAGTGGACACCCTAAATGTTAGAATTAAATTAGATTTACCAACAACAGAAGTAATGCAATGTGTGCAGTCCTCCAAAGCATGATTTCTCAAGCTTGTTGCATCACCTTATGATGAAAGCTCCATTAAAACTTAACTAAAGTGTACCCGAACAATGCTTACGTTTTAGGTTGTATTTTGCATTTTTTAAATTTTATTCGTAACTTCACTGAGAGTTTTAACGTAAATGCTTATGTTAGAAAACAAGATTTGGAATGTCGATTAACTTACAGTGAGTCTTCAATCACCAGGCACTTTGCAGCATCTACACCCATTCTCCTTGCAGCCTCGATGAATCTGTAAATAGTTAGAGATTCAAGAATTGGGACAAAATCTATTAAATAGAATTTCTAATAAACAAAGCATAAAGTAAGCAAATTAATAAGTCGTGCAAGAAGCTTTTGTATACAAAAGGGAACATAAGCATCAGTACATAAATACCATTGTAATGCGATGGTTCCTAATGGAACATGGGATTATCAACTGGAAGGTTCCTTTTCTAGGCAACCAAAAACTATGCACTAGAATAACTTGACATTAGAAAAGAAAAACAAAACTTACATATCTGGAGAAGGCTTCCCCGATTTGACCTGGTTACTTCCAAGAATTGTTGAAAAATAATATTTCCAACCTACATGAGCAATTTAGAAGAATAGCAAACACATCAAGAAAGCAAAGAAAACAAGTATTTCAAAAGGAGTGAGAGAGTATAAATACCGAGTTGTTTCCTTATGGCCATTATTACATGCTACTATTACTGGAAGATCACTGTCTGCAGCAATAGTAACCAGCTTCATCGTCTTTCTCACCAGGCATTCGGCAATTCTTGTTGCTCCAATAACAGCAGCAAAAATAAGAGCTGTCTCATTATTTTCATCAACTGCCTGTAACTCTTCTACTGACATTAACTCCACCAAAAACTCCACAATCTTTATGTTCCCAGCCTTTTGTTGGGATTCTAACTGATCCCGAGTGGGGCCCGCTGAAAAATACCGGTGGTAAAAGTAAAATAAAATTACTATTACCACATATACTTCCAATAATTTCATATTGGATATTGACGATCGAATCCACCAGAAATAATAACCATGGTAAAAATAAATAAATAAATAATTACCGTAAATGCCAGATGAAAATAAGAACATTGAGATTTACGTGGTTTACCCTTCAACTGTTATGGGCTACGTCCACGGGACAAAAACTCCGAATAATTCTTTTACTAAAAATAGTAATAGTAGGTACAAAAAGAGATTACAAAAATAGTGGTACTCTAAGTGTTTAACAAAAAAACACCCCAAAATTACAATCCTCACTATTTTCTCTCTTTTCCAATTTTAGGAACCTTTTTCTAAAATTTTCTACACTCAATTGTGTATTCCTATTCTATATGTTTTTGTACGTTTAAGTTGAATTTTTTTTTTTTTTTTTTTTTTTTTTTTTGTACGTTTAAGTTGAAGAAAACTTCTCTTATTTATAGGAGAAGTGGATGCCTTAATGGATACGTTTGCGCAATTAACGCATCCATTTTCATTTTGTAGGTACAACCCTCTTTGAACTTTTAAACAAAAGACGTGTCCTTCTTTTTTTTCTTCCTTTCTTTGGCACCGTTCTTTGAATAACAAAATAAACATGCTTTTTGTTGTTTCCTTCCTTTTTTTCTTTTCTTCAAACTTATGTGGGTCCCACATGTTGGAGGGACTCCACAACCATTCTCCCCCTCTCGACTACATGGTGGGACTCTCCATTCCTGCTACTTTGACACATAGCTCGAACTTCTCTTTCGGAACGACCTTTGTCAGCATATCCGCAGCATTTCTGTTTGTGTGGATTTTCCGCAACTGAAACTGCTTCTCTTCAATGGCAAGTCTAAGCTAATGATATTTTACATCAATGTGCTTCGTTCGTGCATGATACATAGTATTTTTGCTCAAGTCTAATGCACTTTGACTATCACAATAAACTATATATTCTTCATGTTGCACAATATATTCTTCCTGCTGCACACCCAAATTCTTGAAAGAATCTCTTTAAGACCAAAGCGATTTCATTTCCTGCTTCTCGTTGCTGCAACGTACTCTGCTTCAGGCATTGAATAATGAAACACATTTTTTTGTAATCTCGATTGCCCATAAATAAGCTCCTCCTAGAATGTAAATAGGTTAGCCCTGATGTAATTTCTTTCATCAAGAATCACCGGCCATATCTGCATCTGTGTAACCAATAAGTCAGCATTTTCACCTCCAAAAGTTAAACATAACTTTGAAGGTTCCTCTCAGGTTCTGAAGATCCATTCACCTGCTTCCCAATGTGTCGTTCTGGGGAATTGACCAAAAATCGAATCACAACGCAACTGCATAACGATAAGTCTAGGTCTTGCTAACACACCCATTGCGTACTCAACTTCCAACGCTGATAGAAATGGAACATTTGACATATTCTCCTTTTTCTTTCTGCTGTTTGATGGGTATGATTTCTTACATTCAACTTGAAGTGAGCGGCAAGCGGAGTGCTTTAACTGGTTGTCAAATTCTTCATATTGAACCTCTCTAGAACTCGTTCAAATATATTTTTCCCTGTGACAACCATAACCTGCGAGGACTTTCTGTCTCGAATAATCCTCCCATTTCCGAGAATTCGCGCTTGCCGATGCCAAATCCGTTCATTGTCAATGCTTTTGACAAAATAACTTTTTACCCTGCTAAAATCATGTGTGCATCTGGTCACACCGATTAGCAATAGTCATCAAACATATAAGAGAAGGATGATAATTTACCATCAGGGAATTTTTTGGACATATAACACAAGGATCTCATCTGTCTTTTGTAATCCTTGATTCACTATGCGATCAAAACTTTTATACCATTGGTCATGGTGAATTGTTTTCCAACCCGTACAACTCTCTTCAAGCGACAAACTATGTCCTTCTTTTTCTTTGACCTTGATCCTTCTGGTTGTTCCATATAGATTCTTCCTCTAGATCACCCCGCAAGAATGCGGTCTTTTACCATCAAGACTACTCAACTCAAGACTTCAAATTGGCTACAAACTAGCACAACTCAAATAGAACTCTTTGCACAACTTGGTGAAAAAATCTCATAAAAAAGTCAATACCTTTCTTTTGAGTAAAAAGCCTTTGACCGACCATCGAGCTTTGTACTTACTAGGTTGCCAATCATCTTTTCCTTCAGTATGTACACACCCATTTGTTCTTGGAGTGTTCTCTTTCCCTTTTGTATATATATGCTCATACATGTCATTCTTTTCAAGAATTCATCTCTTCTGCTGGCCTTTTCCAGCAATTCTCTGTCTTTGGCAAGATTGCACCATTCTTGGAAGCTCTCTGGCTCCCCCTCATCAGTAATCAAATGTAAATCAAAAACTAGGGTACCTTGTAAGATGGGTTTTGGTCCTCTGGTTGACCTTTTTAAACCTGAGGTTCAACTCCCTTCGGTGTAAATGGAGTTCCTCTGGCTCCCCTGCTCACACTATCTGCATCACTGTTATATCTTAACAATTGTCTCTTGTCCCCTACGCTGGCTCTTCTTTCTTCTTCTTCTTGTTCGATTCTGGCATTCCTCCTCCTGTGGCAATCATCTGTAGGAATGCTTCCTGGTGTAATATCAACCAACACCATCACTTGTGGATTCTTCACAACTTTATGCACAATCTCATTCTCGTGGAATAACTAAGTCTGGCCCGGACAACTCTTTTCTTCCTGGATCCACAACCTCGGTAGCCAAACTCTTCGTCCATTAACCAATAAGAAGTGCAAGGACTGACTTGTTCATCAAGCTTTGATCTACTGCTCCTTCGAAGCATGCATGAATGCCTTGCACCAAATACCTCTCAGATGAGAGTATGAAATATTTTCTGTCCCAGCACTCTCTGGGAATCAGAATCCAGAGGTGCTGGATAGGTAGTCAAGTTGGATAGGTGATAGCAGTATTGACAGCAAAATGGCTTAGGTAAGTTGGCCATTTTGAGCATAGATCTGACTCTTTCAATAATGGTGCGATTCATCCGTTCAGCAACGTCGTTGTGTTGAGGTGTACCAGGAACTGTCTTTTCATGCCTGATACCGTGCTGACTACAATAATCTCTACACTTCTTAGAGATAAACTCACCACCATTATCCGTGCGCAAACACTTTAATGCTACTCTAGTCTCCCTTTCCATGGTTGCATGGAATTGCTGAAAGTGCTTGAATACTTGGTCTTTTGTGCGCAACAAATATATCCATGTCTTCCGTGAGAAATCATCAATGAAGGTAAGAAAATATGAAGGTAAGAATTACTACTTCCTCCAAATGAATTCCTACCTCCATGGGAACCACATACGTCAGGGTACAACTCCAAACTTGTTTCTCTCCGTCCTAGAGCTTTTCAAAAGTGAGACACATGTTCTTCCCAAAATAAACAATATTAACAGGGTTTATTTTTACCTTTGCTATGGTAATAGGGGACTTCTTAGCCAACATATCAACCCTTCTCACTCAACGTGCGCCCAGCTGCCCTAGCCACAAATTTTGGTGAAGCATCATCTGCATTGTAATTCAGTTGCAACCCGCCATATTACTTGTGTGGTCTTGTACAGTGAGCAATTATAATTTTCCTCTTGCTTACCAAGACCTTTGGTGATTTCCAATTACCGGCGTCACTTGTATGATGGTGATACGTTCTTGTCCAGTAACAACTTACCGAAACCGGTTCAACGAAGATCGGGTGAATATGTCTCACAGTTTTTAAGTGTTAATGTGCACACCGACACTTGTCTTTAATACAGATCATCACCTGATTCCCCACCACTGTGCAAGACACTATTATTCCCATTTTAATAGTGTCAAGTCTCCTACTTTAATAAGTGTAAAAGTTCCCTTTTGGGAACACAATGGTATGAGCAACCGGAGTCTCCTATCCCACTCGGTATCTTGCACTCCAAATTGACAGCAATCTGCATCATGAAGTGGACTTCAAGTCACCTCACCCATCTTCACCTCACCATCTTCTCCTGAGATTGTAGCAAATGTATTTCTGTCATTCTCTTGTCTTCGGTTTGCATGCTCCTGTTTGAGTAAATGACAATTTCTTTTGAGATGAACCTCCTTACCGCAATGGCAACATTTTCTCATCTCTCTAGACTTGGATCTACCACCTGACTTTACATGCCCTTGACCTCTACTCTTGCTCCGGCCCCTATTCTCTGTGACAAGGGCTTGTGAATTGGTACTGACAACATCTCTTCTTCGTAGTTCTTCATTAAATAGTCCATTCTTTACCATAGACATCGTTACCACACTATTTGGAGCTGAGTTACTCAATGACACCACAAGAGTATCCTAACTATCCAGTAGAGATCCCAACAGTAGGCATGCTTGCCAGTCTCGTCTTCTAAGGACATCCCGATAACTGCTAAACTCAGTTACGAGTCCTTTAAAATCCGTTCAGGTGTTGTGTAATTGATCGCCCTCTACACTTACAAGTTCATGACTTAACGCGCATCATGAGACTTTTCCTATGAGCTATTCGTAGCCTCGTACTATTCTTAAATTTCTTCCAAGAGAAACTTGGGAGAACTTGGGGATCTTTTTCATTTCTCACATGGTTGTACAGGCTAGCATCTATCCATTAGCGT